GCATTGTTTTCTTTTATGTGTATTTGACCATCACATTTTCCTAGTCAAATTTTGTTTCACGGCTTTAATGACCTCACTCTGTGTTTCAACTCAAAACATGTCAAACAAAATAATCTAACTATGAAAGTGTGATGTTAAAATCGACATCAAAGAAAACAATTGAATAGTTGCTAAAATGTATGATTAGACTTGTTGGTAGAAATAATACTATAAACATCAAGACGTATTTAACAGTTTCCTATCATTACATGCATAAAGAGTCATGAAAAGTAAGACACTTTTTACCTCAAATTCAGGATGACATCATCACCGATCAAGAAGAAAGGAGCCCAATACATGGGATCCCTGTAGCCTTCTTTTCTAATATCATGCATGGCTTTGTGAAGACTTACACTCGCACTTTCACCTCGAGTCAGATAACTGTAAAAACTCACCATGAAACTAAAAGTCACATTGTCATCGATTGCCCACAATGACGCTACGAAAGAACGAGCTCCGGCCACAAGAAAAGCACGGCTTAGTCCAACCATACCCTCAGCCCTAATCTCACCACGCCCACTGTAGCAACAGCTTAGCACAACAAGTTGAGCTCTGATTCCGATTTGTTGGACTTCTTTCATTGTCAAAAGGTAGTCATCTTCTTCCGGGATTCCTTTTCTTTCTGCTGGTGAGACATTTGGTGCCAGCGCTATTTCACCATTGTCAGAGCTCCCGTGTGCAGCAATGTGAATTACAGCTGAGCCTTCTTTCAGCTTTTCTAAAACCGCATCTTTGGTAGCTCGTTCGCCGTTCAGTATGGTCGACTGTTTAAGCATAACTGAAAGAAAGCTGACTTCCCTATTTGCTGAAGGCAAACGTTCAAACAWTCGTTTCTTKCCTCTRAACATGACTTCTCCAACACTTGGATCTCCTACAATCAACGCTCCTTTTTGGCTATGATGATCCACTGAACATTCTTTTAGAACCTTTAATATAGCTATTGATGGCGCAAGGCGAATGCGTTTGGTGTCTGACAGATACTGTCCTGTATTGGGATCCCTGAGGGCAGCAAACGGTAATCTATACATTGGTCCATCGGGCACTATGACAATCTCGTCGTGTCGTACATTTGATATGACACGTGCAACTAAACAATTGTACAACATTTCAAGTGGGTGTGACGCTTTATCGAGGGTCTCTTCACTGGTACCATCATCACGTGACAGAGATTCAGAAGCTTTAGTAGTGACGTGCTCTTTCGATGTAGCACAATCATCAAGTGATCTGTTTTCACAAGTAACGCTCTCTTGGATTTTCATCATTTCATATGCTCTTGTAACAGTTGCAGTAAAGAAACGAGTCATGGAGTTTTCATCCCCATGTTCCTTTTCTTCAGTCAATGTTTCTATGGCAGAATCAAATTGTTCCTTTTCAGTTTCTCTGAACATCAGTGAGTCTTTGGCTAAAACCCACACAGCYAAACTGYTGYTTARYAAGCTGYAATGCAGTATCGAGAAGACATCTTTAAAGAAGATCGCCTCCACATCAGGATAGGTTAATGGCTTAGGTAATGACATTTCTTTTTCAATCATAGCGTATTTGAATATTAAGAGATCTCCTAAAGCACGTGCTCGTCTACCATCAGATACCAACAGAGCCTCTTGTAGCTGCCTTGTTTCGATTAGAACGGTGGTGAGTAGCTTGTAGGTTTCATTGAATCTATCAAAAATGGAGACTTTGAAAAGATCCCGTTGATGGAGATGTAGGAACAAAAAATCAAAACAAACAACAGCCTTTTTCAAGTATTCTTCTGATTTAGCTATATTATCATCAGTATTATGACATGCTTGATGTCCTTGGTTCTCTTTGTTTAATGAATAGTATACTTGTCCTAAAGCGGAGCATGCGTTACCCTCCAGTTCTTTATTGCCAATAGTCGAAGCGATATCAAGGCATTTCTCCAATAAAGTTAATGCAGTTTGAAAATGATTTCTGCTTATATTGTTTACAGCCATAGCATGATAAATACTTGCCTCACTATGTTTGTCATTTAATTCTTTAGCAAGAGCAAGACTAATGTCGTATTGTTTCTTCGCCTCTTCGTATCGACGTAATTCATTTAAGCATTTGCCAATGTTTAATAAGGCGACCGATTGTGATTGTTTATCATCGATTTCTTTTGAAATGTCTAAGCATTCCTGATAATACACAATGGCTTCTGAATATTTGTTATAATAATTAAACAAAACATTTCCGTGGCTACCATAACATTTTGCTTGAAGACTTTTATTACCGATCTCTTTACTGATAGCAAGACTTTTCTGGAACATCTCGATGGCCTTATAATCATTCAACCTTGCGTATATTGACCCCAAGTTAAGCAAGTCACTCGCCTGATCTTCTTTTTTTCCAATTTTAACACTTGTCCTGAGACTCTGAGATTTGTCCAATATAGACGACTTGTTACGATTCGTAATTTGTATTTTACCGATGGTATCTATTCGTGAAGTCATTTTCATGATGACTTTGCAATGAGATTTGACTTTAACTTTTGATTTGATGTTGAGAAATAAGATATGCCTGTAGGCTCTCTGACTTCTGGAGGGTGGAAACACGTGATATCGGTTGCACTTGCGATTTCAAAGTGATGATGATTCGAACAATCTGAGGCTGTCGCGCATAATACTTTCAGGTTCAACTTTTACTCGCCATAGCATTGAAAGAACAAAGAGATATGGGGAGAAATTCACCATTCGTTCCATCGGTACCATTGGTCATGGATTGAAGGCCTCATTCTGTCGTTCAATCTGAAAGGAAATGGTATCCCTGTGCAGCGCGGCATGCATCCATGTCTATGAAGCCTGAAGAGTCTTACCATTCGTCCCGATCGAACCATTGGTAATGGGTTTTTACCGGTCGTATCGAAGGAATTCAATTGGTGAATCGTTAACTTATTGCCGTTGCTATAATATGGTATCCCTGTGCAGCGCCGTATCCATCTCTATGAAGCCTCGAGAGTCTTACCATTCGTACCGATGGAACCATTGGTAATGGGCTTTTACCGGTCGTCTCGAAGGAATTCAATTGGTGAATCCTTAACTCATTGTCGTTGCTATGAAACATAGATGCTGTGGATGTTGTTCTTGCGATTTCAAAGTGAATATTTTTCGAACAATCTGAGGCTGTCACGCATACTACATGTTACTGTGACAAACGGTATCCCTGTGCAGCTGTGCATTCATCTCTATGAGGCNTTCCCTATCACCGGTCGTCTGGAAGGAATTCAATTGATGAATGATTAATGGTCTCTCGTTGCTATGACATAGAAAATGTTTCTGATCTTGTACTTGTGGGGTATATTGTTATGAAGCAATGCATGTTACTGTGACAAACGGTATCCCTGTGCAGCTGTGCCATCATGTCTATTAAGCCTCAAGAGTCTTACCATTCGTCCCGATCGAACCATTGGTAATGGGCTTATACCGGTCGTCTCGAAGGAATTCAATTGGTGAATCATTAACTGACTCTCGTTGCTATGAAATAGGAAATGTTGGTGGGGATATTTTGTAATGACGCAATGCATGTTTCTGTGACAAACGGTATCCCTGTGCAGATGTGCATTCATCTCTATGAGGCCTCGAGAGTGTTACCATTCGTACCGATCGAACCATTGGTGATATACTTATTCCGGTCGTCTTGAAGGAATTCAATTGGTGAATGATTAACTTACTTTCATTGGTATGAAATAGAGMAATTGTGCAATCTTGTTCTGGTGGGATCTGTCACTAGTAACGCAATGCATGTTTGGGTGAGAACCGGTATCCCTGTGCATGTGTGCCATTATCTCTGTTAGGCCTTAAAATTCTCACCATTCGTTCCGATCGAACCATTGGTAATGGTCTTATGCCAGTCGTATCGAAAGAATACAATTGGTGAATGATCAAATTTGCCTCGTTCCTCTGAAATATTGACCATGTGTGATCCTTTACGGGTGGGATATCTGTTAGTCACGCAATGCACGTTTCTGTGACAACCGGTATCCCTGTGCAGCTATGTATTAATTTCTAGTAGGTTCATGTCAGCAGGGCTCCATTATCACCATTTGTACCATTGGTACGACCGGAGATAGGGAGATACGGGTCGTATCGATGGAATTCAATTGGTGAATCATTAACTTGGCGTCATGGTTATGAATGAGAGAGATTTTATGAGATTTGCCCGTGAGTGTCAGTGTGAGAAATGTTATCAATGTGGTTGGTGGGATGTGTGTTGTCTGTGGAAACGTGCATTAATTTGTAGCATTCACCTCTCGTCGTCTACATTTTCACGCATGATTCTATTGATGCAAATGGTGAGAGCATTATTCCGGCTTTATATAGAGTCATCACACTTGTACCGTGAAACATAATCAAAGAAGTAGTAACTATTAGTTTTTATTTACTGACTCATTGTATAAAATAGTAGATATCACTGAACCAAAACAATTCTTAAAAACAAAAGGCAATACACAAGAGACTTGGAAGCCAAACAACGTTATTAAAAGCTACCTAATGAAGAAGGAGGAATTTGTTAAAAAATGTCCCACCCACAAGGAAAAAAATAAAGAGCTAGTTTAGTTCTTTGTTAAACCCAGAAGCTCGAAGGGCTAGAACTCGTGTTAAATGTAGGCTTCATGTCAAGTCGCTTTTTTATATTGACTAGTCAAATAASTCTTCTTTGAGCGATAGAATTCGTTCGAAACCACGTTGTTTATAGATTTTTTCGGGATATTTCAGTGTGTCTTGTCTTGATTTTTAGTTTAGGCTCTTATRACAAACTCGTTAGAAAACACGTTCATTTGCGTACTGGGTTTGATATTACAGTATTTTCAATTTAGCCTTACAATGTCTTCTGTTATAATTTTGCTGCGGCGCAGAGAATAAAGACTCCAAACGCGTTTCATTTCGTCTTGTGTGATTATTTTAGCTTTAGATATGTCTTTGTGTCTTGATTGTACAGCAGCGCAAATAAATAAAGATTCGTTAAACGCGTTTCCTTGCGTATTGTGCGGTTATTTTAGCTTTAGATGTGTCTTTTGTCTTGATTGTACATGAAATAAAGATGGCAGTTGTCAAGTCTCTTGTGTATTGCCTTTTGTTTTCATGAATTGTTCTGGTTCAGTGATATCTACTATTAGTCAATAAATAGACACTAATATTTACTGTTTATTTTGATCGTATTTCACGGTACAAGTGTGATGACTCTACCGTGAATTCTTAACTCAAAGACATTATAACATAGAGAGTTTGTTTTATGGAATGTGCAAGCAGAGTTGAAAGTTATCTGTTTCTTCTTTATTACAAGTGGAATGCAAATCGTGAAAAACATTTTTGGCTTATATCAAGATGCAGGAACGGCAACCAAAGATCCATTTTGCTAACATTGTCAATGATTAATTAATGAAGGATTAACTTCCGATACTCAGGAACTTATTTCACATGAGATAAAATAAATAGTTGTAGGTTGGTCTATTCAT